GCGAAACATTTCCACCTAATAAGAAAGAAGTCTAGTGGCCAGGACTCAACTTCCAGAGAACCTCACGGGGAAGACTGAGAACTTTCACAGAATCAAGACCAGTCATTCCCAACCTTGGGCTCCCAGGTGTTCTTGTCAAGACCAGCCGTTCCCAACCTTGGGTTCCCAGGTGTTCTTGGACTAACATTCCCAAAAGCCTCCACCACTAGCTGTGCTGGCCCATGATTTCTGGGAGTTGTAGTCCAAGAACATACGGAGACTGAAGGTTGGGAACCACTGACCTAGACCAACCTAGTAGCCAGCTGGGGACATGAAATGTACATGCACATACGTGGGCAGCCACAAACCAAAGTCAAATAGTACAGCATTTTAACCACTGCACCACGAGGCTCTTTCCGGGAGTTGTAGTCCAAGAACATACGGAGACCGAAGGTTCTAGACCAGTGGTGTTGAACTGTGGCCCTCCAGATGTTCTTGGACTTCAACTCCCAGAAGCCTTCACCACCACCTCTGCTGGCCAGGATTTCTGGGAGTTGAAGGCCAAGAACATCTGGAGGGCCACAGTTCGACACCAGTGTTCTAGACCAACCTAGTAGCCAGCTGGAGACATGCAATGTATATGCACACTCACACACGTGGGCAGCCACAAACCAAAGTCAAATAGCATTTCACTTAGCATGCTCAGTCCCCAGTGGAGCTTTTTTGGGATTCTCCTTCCTCTGGTTCTTTTTCTGCGGACCAATAATTGCTATTATTGGTCCACAGGGAGAGAAGAGCAGGGTGGGAGCATATTTCTGCAGACACCCCCACCCTGCTCTTCTCTCCCTGTAGATTAATAATGCCATTTTAGCTACATAAGCAACATGCCTGAACAACGGAAAGAGAGGAATAACTGGAGTCACGGTGATCCCTTGATGTCATATCTGGTTTAGATGGGAATGGAGGGCCTTTTCTAGGAAAGATTATACATAGCACACACACTCCTCTCCTGGTGAGTTTTATGCTTGAATTTGAACTGAGGTTTTTCCAGTCTACCTTAACACTCTATGATAAATCAAACTGGGGAGGCCTGAGGTCAAATTCAAGCATAAAACTCAGACTAGAAAGACCTGAGTTCAAATTCAAGCACTGAAATTACACACTGGAAATCAAAGTGCTCCCTTTTGTGGGAGAGGCATCAGAAAAGCATTTTTACAAGGAGTTGCTTGTCTTTGGTATAGCTATGTTATACTGAGTAAAGCCGGATATGTACAGGAAATCACTGTACAATGTACATTGTTAGCCATCAGAAGTGTTTCAAACGGTTTTTACAAAGAAAATCATTCTCCATTATTTTATCACATTGTTTTATGCCTTGGAAAACAATGAGGTGCAAAAATTATGTTAGTATCTTGAGGAAGTGCTTCTCATCCCAGCTAAAATTAAAAGGTCACGAGCCTCACAATTCTATTTTCTTTCCTCTGCACACTGTAGTTTTAACCCTCAAAATTATTTCACACATAGTGATTTTAAAATGGCACAGAAACTATTCTGTCAGCTTTTAGTTATTTGCAAGGACATAGACAGGCATTATTAAAATACAGTACAGAGGTTGAAAGTTAACTGTTGGACCACAACTCCCACAACCATACAAGGATTCTGGGAGCTGTAGTCCAGAAAAGCAACATTTGAGATTTTGATAAAACATTGTATGGGCGAGAAGGGAGACTGTTTTGACTACAGTCGTGCCCTGCTTTACGACTGCCCCACACTACAACAAATCTGCTTTACGACAATCTTTTTGCGATCGCAATTGTGATCACAAAACGATGGTCTAAATGGGGGAATGTCGCTTAGTGATGATTGGTTCCCTGCTTCGGGAACCGATTTTCGCTTTACGACAATAAAAAACAGCTGATCATTGGGTTTTCAAAATGGCCGCCAGGTGCTTAAAATGGCTCCCTGCTGTGCTTAGGGACAGATTCCTCGCTATGCAGGCAGCGAAAATGGCCGCCGTATGGAGGATCTTCGCTGGACAGTGAGTTTTTACCCCATTGGAATGCATTGAACGGTTTTCAATGCGTTTCAATTGGGTTTTTAATTTCGCTTTGCAATGTTTTCGCTGTGATTTTCCTGGAACGGATTATCGTCGTTAAGTGAGGCACCACTGTACTTTTGATTGAATGTGACTTTGCACCACCTTATATATTCTCACACATGTTCTGTGCTCTAACTTCACAGAAGTAGAAGGCTATCCTATCAGGCCATCAGAGCTGGTCCAGAACACTTTTGTGTGAAGGGGAGCAGCAGGTAAACAAGAGTGGAGCCAAAGAGGAAAAGATTAGTTCTTCCTGCAGATACAAATTCTGGGCTCCAGGCTCAATCTGACGTGTATCTAAAATAAAATCTTGTGCTTGAGGGCAAACCATGTGACTAGCATAACAACTTGTGTATCCCCTAGTAATAGACTGTTAGGGATAGTAAGAATGGTCTGGAAAGAGTACTTAATGAACAGCACCTTTATGTAAGTTGACTAGTTGGCAGGTATGGATTCCACTCTCCTCTACTCTCCTTCCCAGCCATCTGATCAAGTCGGCACACACAGAACAGAGCCCTTTTGAACTTCTTAGGCAAAGTGTGGCAAGCCCTCTCAAGCAGAAAGCACAAGCAGGCTGTGATCCAAGGATAGGAAGGGCTATTCTCAGCATTTGGGGTCAAATCCCTCTCCAAGTGGAAGCTATCCTTAATAAAAGGGCAACAAGACACTGCTGATGTCAAAACATCTGCATTGTTGCTGCTGAATGGGGAGCTCATGAGAGCTTGCCTCCAAATGTACCAAAATGTCCTGGCTGGCTTTGGGTACACTTTGAGTTGTAGTGATGGGGACACTCATAGTCGTTCCACTTCTGAAAGCAAAACATCTTGAGTCAGATGGCGTGGTGCCACAGCAATGCACCCTCTATTTTATGGGATATGGAGTTGGACCACTTTTTCTTGCATTGCAGTGGGATGAAAATACCTCTTTTTTTAAATTGGGAAGCGTTTTTGGAGGAGGTCTCTGAAGCTGCTGTGTGCTTTTATTTGTTTTTTCTCTTCTTATTTTGGTATTCTCTGCTCCAGCTCTTCTTTGCAGCTACCCTTTGGTGAATTTGTTTAACGGTCATGAGCTGGTTTTCTGTGTACTGTACTTTATTTCTCCATTTTTTAAAGATAACGTGAAGGTTGTTAAAAAAAGAAAGGCAAAATATGAGTATCTTAAAAGAAAAAGGAGGGACCAGTTGCATTGTGTTGTTGTTTTTTTCTTAAAGAATGCTACACAATACAAAGGAGATCAGTGCTGCAGAACTGCATCACACAATGGTGATCTTCAGTTAATAAACTGTGTGTGTCATTTTGAAATGCATTTCGAATGCAAAGTGCCCTAAATACTCAGAATATTATGGGTTTTAAAGAAGCCTATTTTTTTTCTAAAGGCAGAGTCAGAGATTAACCGCCTGTTAATAGCTGCATCTTAACAATGATAAGCCAGTCTGAAAACAAAGAGAAATACAATAGAAATGACGACTTAACAAGGTTAGCTTCTTTTAACCCATCATTAAACCTGTGGGGTTTCATATTCCCAGCCCACTAACCAAGAAGTAATCCACAGCTGTGTGCACCCTTCTCGTTTCAGTGGGCAAGAACCAGGTACATACTTGCTTTAAAAAAACCAAAGCAAAGAAATAACAAACAAAACAAAACACAGAAGGCCTAGACACAGAATGAAACAACAGGGAAGTAGCACTTCCAGGCTCCATAATCCCAGGCCTCCAGTGTCATAAGCTCCCCATTGCTGAAGCAGAAAAAGATGGTCTCTAGTCCAGCAGCAGAAACAGAAATATCACTGGGAATGTAGGAGCATAGTGTAATGTCATTTCTTCTAATTGTCCAGATACTCATAGCTGTCCTCGCTGAGACACCAGCTCCTTTTGACTCTTTCCTTATCACCAGAGGCATCTCTCTTGAGACACCAACTGCACTTATGGGGAAAATAATCCTTTGAAATCTACTTCCCAGCTGGACTATTGCTTCTGAAGTTATTTTTTAAAAACTATTTTTATCTAATTAAAAGCTTCCAGCTGGAAGCTTCTGACACGGAAATGAGCCTCATGAGAAACAGACTGCTAATCTACATCCATCCCCCACCCCAAAAATTAATAAAGAATGCCTTCGGGGAGAAAACAAACAAACAAACCCTGAAGTTACTCCGAAAAGCACTGATGATATCAGATCAAGCCCTGCATCCTCTGGATGTTGGAGAAAATGCTGAAAATCGTACAGTCAAACCAGTCCTTTTTTGCAGGAATAAATGCTCTGTTTTAAGAAGGATAACTTGATGAAAATTCGTAAGCTCCTCACCACCCAGGAGACCTTACCCTGCCCAAGTCCAGCTGGATCATGGAAGTATTTCAAAGCTGCTCCTAACAGCTAAGAAACAAATGAGGGAGGAGGGCATTCATTTGTATTCCATCAGTCCCACCGTGTTCAGGCCCGCCAGATTTGTACCAAGTGCCAGAGAAAGTGCATCAGCACCATGAGCAATGCAGGTTGTTGCCCCTCTTGCAGAAGAAAGCATAAAACCGTAGAGGTGCTGTACATGTTGTGCACACTGATGCCTCTTCCGTCTTTCTATCCACTGCCACAGAATCAGTGTGCAACATCACTCACTCCAGTCCACTCCCTGGACTCCTTCAAAGGCTCACACAGAGTAAGTAGAGCCAGCCAGCTGCCTCCTTTCTGTCCCCTCAAGGGCATGAGCAGAAAAAGGGCAGGTTATTGCTTGCGCCTGGATCCCCCTGGGATGACTCTACCCCTGAAAAACTCCCAGTCTCATGCCCCTCTTGGAATTTCCTCATGCCCCTCGGTCATGAATACTTCCCAGCCTGGGAAACAGTGGTTAAAAAATTTAAAGATTTTTCAAAACAATTTTTTTTCCAAGAAAAAAAAACATTTTTCAAACCAACAGAACACTGTACACTGACCTCAAAACATTTTTCTTTTTTAGCCTGAAGCAACAATTCTGCCATTCCTGGTAGCAGCACAGGAAATATGTAGTGCTCTATAAATTCCCTCGGAGAACCTGGACAGAAAATGTTTCCATTTTTGGTAAGCAGGCTTCAATTTTGTGAATCCACATGAGTTCTTATCACCCCTAGTAGCTAAACCATTAACAACGGAATGGAATTTTCAGATTTCATAGGCTATACATTCTGTAATTCCTTATTCTGAAAGTCCTGCATTTACAGACACCTAAATGGGGAAAAAGGCCTCCTTCGATGGGAAGGCTTTGAGGCTTAGCCAGGCCTAGTTCCACCAAAAGTTCTTGTCCTGGTGCTAGCTAGGAACGTTCTCTCTGAACAGGAAGCCCAGGTGGAGCTAAGCCTAGCAAAGCCTCAAACCTTTCACTTGAGACCTAGCTAGGCCTAGTTCCAGCAAAACTTCCTGTTCCTGTCCCAGTGCTTGCTGGGAGCTTTCTTTCTGAACTGGAAGCTTGACCTAACTAAGCCTCAAAGCCTTCCTAATGAGGCCTTTTCTCATTTAGGTGCATGTAAGGTATGTATAAGTCAGGTAAAACAGCCAGGAAGGAGAATTATGAGATCTGTAGTACAAGAAATCTGAAAATCCCATCCCTAGCCATAGGTACATAAGTGCCTTCCCTTATTTTCTCTGATAGTCAAGCATGCTCCAGGTTTCTCTCTCACTTGACCGAGACAACCCACAGTGTGCCATAGCATATCTACCACGGGTTATCAATAAACTAGAACAGAATAAACTATGGTTTCCCAATCTGGTGTGGAGGTAAACCATGGTTTATAATAACCACAATGTGTAGATGCCATGGAATTATGCTTTGCCCAACAGGAAGAGAGGGCTGCGCTTCCTCCAGGTTTAAGTGAGCTTCCTCTAACACTAGTGACTGCATCTATGCTCTGGATAGGGCCCTGTTTAAAAGTTCTAGGCAAAACATATTAGACTGGTGTCTTTGCTCTAACTTCAAGTCTCAGGTATTTCCTGACTATGCAACTAGCCATTGGACCCCCTCAGTGCCTTCAGACTGTGAGTACAGCAGAGTACAGACTGTTACTCATTTTGAGGTCCTGAATACTGATGTTGGCCGAAGCAGGACAAGTAGTGTTCTGTGTCACCAGACTATTACTGACTGCTATTTTAATTGTCAATAATGACATCGGGTAATTAAAATGCTATGGTCCTGGTTGATGCCCAGGGATGCTTAGAGCTGGCACTGACCCTGAATTGGGGATAAATCTCTCAAGCACAGCATGCAAAGGAAGAAACCCATGACCCAAAGGCACTTTATCAATCAACTGCCAAATGTGCTGCCAATGTGTGAACCATGGGGGCAAGCAATTAGCTCTTGGGAATGTGACATTTACAGGTGGAACCTGTTACTTTGAAGCAAGTCCAACAGAGTTCAGTGGAGCTCACCTCCAAAAAATGGATACAGGATTGCAACCTTAAGCTTCCCTCCCATCTGCACCCCATGCGATCACGCTGACATGAGAGTTATTCATCACCACCTCCTCCTCCCACCTCCATGCTCATTCTTTGTCATGTTCCCTGTCATCTTTCTTGACTCTCAGCTGCTTGAGCCAAATGTTAAGAGAGAACAGAGAAACAAATTACGTGAAGGAGATGATGGCAAAGTTATCTTCATTTACTGTGTGCAAGCTTTAGACCTATACCAGTCTTCATCAGGCTCTGCATCAATATATTGCAGATATTGAAAAATGGATCAGCTAGTATCGGTCAAAAACTAGCAAGCAAGTGGTCTTTGCTGTTGTTCTCTGCTAAAAAGATGTCACTGTAACTACAGATCAAAGCAATCTGTACTCTGACTTACATGTTTTTAGACTGGGTAGCAGAGGAGCTGATGGTAGAGAATGGAGGGAAGGGGTCTTCAGAGGAACCAATTCATCCAAAATAATTGATTTGCTCTCATCCCTGCTCAAAGGTGGTGAAGTTCCAGCATCAACAGGAACCTGCTGAAAATTTAAATTATTGAGAAATTCTCAAGGGTTAGCCTAAATGTAAATATCAGAAAGCCTGAGTATGTATGCACTATGCACACACATAGAAGAGACAGGACTACAAGTATAGCCAGTGGTGAGGGATGATTCTCACAACATCTGGATGGCTGATCATTCCCACCTCTGCTCCAAATTTTAATGCCCCAGATGTTGCATCTCTCTGCACACACACCATCATGGCTATTTCACTGGTTGAGCACTTTCCTACACATTAAGGATGTGTATCAGGCTGAAAGAATTTTATATGACAAATACTGTGAAAAAGGAAGAGACTCCAACAATCGAGGAGTTAATAGAAAATGTTTTCGAAGCAGCAGAGATGGATATTTGAACTGAAGTATTAAAAGACAAAGAAATTGTTGAGGCTAGAAAAAAAATGGGAACCTTTGCATGAGAGATGAGAACATAAATGGGTTAAAATTATAAGAAAGAAGATATAAGATATAATTATAGAGTTTGGCTTAGGTAAAAAAATGGCAAGGTAAGTGTGAAGCAGGCTTAGTATCAAAACATATCGGCAAAAGCAATGATATATATTATTCTCTATCACATTCTGTATTTTTATATTCACCCCAGTACCCTGTTCCAAACCCCACTCCCTATGATCTTTCCTTACCCAATCAAAAATGAATAATAATAAAAAAGGATATGTATCAGGACTATATTTAGAGCATACAAATCTCTCTCTGTTTCTCTGCTTGTATATGTTTGAGAATGCTTGATGGAAATATTGTACTAAACCATTTTAGGTTCTCATGTCTTAATTTTTTTTTACCTGAACAGGAAATGTTGGCTCCTGTTTCTCTCCCTGCGCTGGCTCTTGTTTCACTACATAACTATCAGGATGGAGAGGCTGTTCTGCTTCAAATTCTTTTTAAAAAAGGAGAGAGAGAGAAAAAGAACCATCAGATGTTGGTGTTTTAATCTTAGAGGTCTAAATACTTTCCAGAAAAAAGCATAAGCCACACCCTTCTTCTATAAGTAATGAAAAAAAATCAGAGGTTCCAGAGCATATGTTGGGTTTGATTTTCTTAGAATGATGATGTAGGAGACTGCTGTGTTAACCACATGCATTTACTAATATGCAGGATGCTGCACTAACATTTCTTGAAGATATACCTGAACATTCACTGTTCTTTGCACCAGATCTTGAGACAGATGAGTCAGAACCTCCAAGTTGGAACTGCACTAAGGCCAAACACAGTATTCTACTCTGGCTGAGTCTTTTTTTTAAAAAAAATCCATTTGTTTACAGACATACAATTTGAAGAGCTTATTCATCCCTTCAGCGCTGTCTGAAGGCCGTACTGAAATGGATGCAGGTGAATGGTCTGAGGCTGAACTGGGACAAGACGGAGATCCTGAGGGTGGGTGGCCCCGATGTCAGTGGTTTGGGGAACTCCCTCTTTTTTGGGGGGGTGACTCACCACCAAGAATTTGGTTCACAGTTTCGGGGTCCATCTTGACCCAGCATATACCACAAAGACCCAGTGGTCCGTACCGCCTATTTCCATCTTCGGCAGATTGCCCAGCTGCGTTCCTGTCTTGATGTGGGCTCCCCCACCACTCTGGTCCATGTGGTTGTAGTCTCGAGATTAGACTACTGTAATGCGCTCTATGTGGGGCTACCTTTGAGATTGATGTGGAAGCTTCAAATGGTGCAGAACGTGGCAGCCAGACTTCTTACTGGGGTGAGAAAACATCAGCATATCTCCCCTACTCTAGCTGCCCTCCATTGGCTGCCCGTTCATTTCCACACTGATTTCAAAGTACTAATGATGACATATAAAGCCCTAAACGGTTTAGGACCTCAATATCTGGCGGAGCGCCTCCTCCCACCTAGATGTACCCGAATCACTCGCTTTAGTCAAGATGGGTAGCTGAGCAGCCTAATGCTAAGGTAGGCCCAAAGAGAAAGAACAAGAAAGTGGGCCTTCTTGGCAGTGGCCCCTCGCCTCTGGAACAATCTCCCCCCTGGAAATTTGTCTGGCTCCTTCGCTGGGTGTTTTTAAGAGCCAACTCAAGACCTGGCTCTTTAGGCAGGCCTTCCCTCCTGTCAATATCTAATTTGCTTGCTATTTTAAATTGTATTGTTGTTGTTGTTGTTGTTGTTGTTGTTGTTGTTACTAGCGGCCTAGAGTGGACTGGTAGTCCAGATAGGCGGGGTATAAATCAAATAGTGGTCAGAGTGGTCTTAACCGACCAGATAGGCGGGATATAAATTAAATAAATAAATAA